AGCCACATGGTTAACCATTATGCAACCAGAGCACCTGAACAGGCTCTAAGCCCTCCCTTGAAATCATCTTTTAGCTGCTCATGCTTGAGATGACTGCCCTTGGTACTTTTATGAATCTTTCCCATTTTCTTTCTTCCTCCCTTTGTCTTCCTTTCTTCCCATCCTCCCTTTCTCCTTCTTTCTATACTTATCAGTGTCTTTTGTTTCACTCCAGTGGCCTCCAAACTATTTTTAAATCTATATCCTATGAATAGAAAATATTTCATAGTGACAAGCCCAAAATTTATTTATAGCACATGCATTTGTAAAATAATACTAACATATACTGTAAGATATAGCGCTATGTTAAAGTGTTGAGCTGCTAATCATAAAGGTTGGCAGTTCGAGCTCATTCTGTGAACAAAGATAAGACTTCTGTAAATACTTACAACCTTGAAAACTGATGTTGTCATTGTTGTTATTTGCCATCGAGTCAGGCCCGACTCATAGCAACCCCTCCTTGGGTTTCTGAGGCATTATCCCTACGGAAGTAGATTGCCCAACTGTTCTTCCAAGGAGTGGCTGGTGGGTTTGAACCACCAGCCAGTCAAGTGCCTTAGGCACTATGCTACCAGAGCTCCTTTGAAAACTGATAGGGTAGTTCTATTTTAGGGAGCTCTGGTGGCATATTGCCTAAGGCTGCTAACCAGAAAGCTGGTGGTTCTAACCCACCAGCCACTCCTCAGAAGGAAAGTTGGGCAATCTACTTCCATAATGATACCACCTTGGAAACTCAAGGAGGAGTCGCTATGAGTCAAATCCGACTCAACGGCAGTGAGTATACACAAAAAGGTTAATATAAAAATAGAGAAACACGTTGAACTATAGTGAAACCAGTAGTAGCCAGAACTCAATGGTACTGTTTTGTTTTTCTGGATCTCATAAGTTTCCCACCAATGACAGGATGCAATATTACCCCTTTTTTATCACTTATTTTAGTGGAAGATATTTGAAGTTTCCTTCTCTGATGGGTTTCTGCCATACAGAGTTACAAGAAGCGCTAGGAGTTGAGGTAAGAACACTCACAGTATGATTTGCCCAGACCTATACTTCAGTACCAGAGATAATTTTCTCAGGAAACCCTGACCACCCTTTTTTTCAGTTATATCCTTTACTCTCTAAACCCTCACAACTATGCAAGAGAGCAGTTTTTCCAAGCCGGCAATTTACACTTTTGTTCTCTCTAATGTTGTGTACTGACAAGAGATGGAATGGATTCTTGAGCAAAATTTTGCATAAAGGAGGATCCCTTAACGTTGATCACTCCAGTTATCAGACATATAATGAAATCTGGGAGCTCTGGTAGCGTAGTGCCTAAGGCACTTGACTGCCAACCAGGAGGCTGGTGGTTCAAACCCACCAGCTACTCCTCGGAAGGAAGATGGGGCAATCTACTTCCATAGTGATACTGCCTCGGAAACCCAAGGAGAGGTCACTATGAGTTGGGTCTGACTCGATGGCACATAACAACATAATGAAATCTACTAAGGTTTACAAGTGTCTTTTGCCTGTGAAAGGATTTGTGCATCTGATTGGTGCTCAATCAATATTACTGACTGCCTCACTTCAGTGTCTCAATTTTCTCTGGTTGTTTCTATAGATATTTTTAGCAAAAAAAAA